GTAAGTGTATGTAAAAAATTTTATAATTTTGAGGCATTCTGGGGACCTTTAACACATCATTTGTCTTAGTATAGGAAATTGTTTGAGAGTGTTGGTTTTAATGGAGTGTTTTTAGAATGTCCCAAGTATGTATTTCCAACCTTTGTGTTTAATCATTTGTCAACACTTCAGTTATTAACGAAACAGCTTAAAGACATATATACACCATATACTGCAGAAACATTTTAAACAATGCTTTAAGAATAACATGAGTTCTTTTTTCTTTTTTTCACAAAGATGTATACATGAATAGAATTCAGTAAAATTCTATTATTACTGCTATATCAAGGCAAAATATATTAATGTCAATATGATTGACCTTTTTCAGGCTAGTGGATCTTTTTTGAGTTATAAATGCTTGAAGTTCTTTGCAGACTGTATCAGGGAAACCCCATCTCATTTGCCCAACTAATGAGGATTTTCTGTACCGAGAGTAGTAAATTTTTTATATTTTGTCCTTGACATCTAAAATTCCTAACACATAACTACACAGCCAATAGAATCCATGAAACCACAGTTCTTAACTTTGAGAGAATGGCTATGGATATGGTAATATAAATGCATCTACATAATTTACTTATCCTTATGTAAAACTATATATAAATATATAGCTATGTAGATTAGTTTTAAGTCATGTAGCTGTATATAATAAGACATTATTGATAAGGTATGGTTAAGAGTCCAATCTGGTTTTGACATAGAATGTGGGCTTTATTTCTGTAGAGTAGGACATAATTTAATTTAACTATCTTTGATATGTCATATGTTCTTTGTAAGATGAACAATTTAAAAAGGGAAAAAAGAATAAAGGGGATCGTGTATTTTAAAAAATAATGTTTAAGTAGTTCCATCATTAAGTACTCGTCATAAGTTCTCATCAACCTCGCATGATTATATCTGCGATAGTAAGTGGAAAATAGTCGTAATAGTGTTAGGCAGATAATGATGGAATCAAAAAATTATTTGGCATAGAAGAGGCCATAGCATAAAAAAGAGCTAGACACCTAAGGAAAAGCTGAATGATTTAGAGATGATTTTCCTGTTTCCTGCAGTTTTCTTCTCCTCTTGTTTGAATCTCCAGAAATTGTATCTGGATGCATAGTTTTAATCAACCTAACCACAGAAGATTTTGATTACAGCGGAGCCTGTATCAAGATAATTACCTTTACCTCTACTTGCAACTATATTGCCCCTAAGCCTTCTTTAATGTAGCAGATCAACTTGTGGCCTCATTCAAGCACTGAGAGCTGGGTAGTATCTCCCATAATTATATATGCTATCCGCCTCTTTATAACTTGCATGCAGACTAAGGAAGCCATGCTAACATGAGGCAAAGCAATTTCTTTCTTGGTGGTTTTTTTTTTTTTTTTTTTTTTTTTTTTGAATATTTATTTATTTATTTTGAGAGGGGGCAAAGAGGGACAGAGAGAGAGAGAGAGAGAGAGAGAGAGAGAGAGAGAGAATCCCAAGTAAGCTCCACACTGTCAGCCCAAAACCCGAGACAGGGCTCAATCTCATGAACCGTGAGATCATGACCTGAGCCCAAATCAAGAGTCTAGTGCTTAATCAACTGAGCCACCCAGGTGCCCCAAGCAATATCTTTTTTATTATGACTGTTTCGCATCTTGGCAAATCTGCTAGTTGAAAATATCATGCATATTCATGATACATATTATCTATGAAACTTATTTTCTGGTTTAAAGCATATTTGAATAAGGAAGTATCTTGATGTGTTTGGACGAAATGTGTATGCTTCATCAGGGAAGTGGTGTAATCAGTCCCCCTTGGTATTCAACCTGTCCATTAAGAGTGTGGTAGAAACTGGTTCTAAATACATAGGATGTGGAAGGTCCAATACCCTTCCTGAGATCTCTCTGTATTCCTGAGTACTTAGATTCTTGGGGCCTCCTTGATGACATTGTTGAATCACTGAATCGTTCAACCTAGGGCCCAGTCTAACCTCTGGGCTTCCAAATGTGTGAGCCAGTAAGTTTCTTTATTGTTTAAGCCAATTTAAGCTTTTTACTTCTGTAGCTTATGGCATAAGATAGATTTTCCCTGATACTCATATACTCATTTATAAGGAAAGAAAAATATGGGGCAATATTAATGATTTCCATGGTTATTAAGAGGGTGCATTAAAACTCCTTTATGAGTTGTTCCCAGAGTTAAAGAAGCATCTTTAGCTTGCAGGTTGTTTTAACAGCTCTCTATCTCTAGTGTAACAACAAAAAAAGATATTAGGGCTTATCAATAAAATGTTTATTGACCCACATTGAAAAATCTCCGTATGCAATATTGTGGGCTATATTTTTGTTGGGCGCTTTTGTTACATCAGGGAATTATACCTTCTTGCTTCTTCTGTCTATTACTGATGTGAAGGCAGCCCATTTCACTTTGGGTACTATGGAATGAAAATATTGTAAGAGAGGAAGAAGAAAGGAAAATGGATTTTGTATCTATTAGTTTGGATCATACGGGCCTGAATGATCCCTTGAAGATGACATTTTCACCTAGTCTCCCAGGAGGTATAGTAAGAGACAGCAGTTAAAAGCTTTGAATTTATAGTATTAACTTGAGTTATAAATGAAGAGAAATACCTGCATTTTAAAAACAATGGTTAGACTTACACTATACATTGTAAGTTGAGCAACACTTCAGTGGACGTTATTTTGTTTAATTTCTTCAAAATCTGAATTCTCTAGTTTTATTATCATTATTACTTCACAGGTGAAGGAAACACTGAAATAAAATAGAGTATGGATTTTGAAATCAGACACGAAGATTTAAATTTTACTTAATGTTTATTTTTGAGAGAGAGAGAGGCAGAGTGTGAGCAGGGATGGGCAGAGAGAGAGGGAGACACAGAATCCAAAGCAGACTCCAGGCCCTGAGGCGTCAGCACAGAGCCTGATGCGGGCTCAAACTCATGAACTGCAGGATCATGACCTGAGCCGAAGTCGGATGCTTAGCTGACTGCGCCACCCAAGTGCCTTGCAGACACCTAGATTTAAATCAGACCTCTGCTCTCTATTACTTACAGGGATGGGGGCACATTATTTAATACATTGAAGGTTTGGATTCCTCACCTTTATAATGGAATCTATATTGTTGACCTCAAAGAATGTGAAACTGTCACATTTGCAAAGACAGCTTGTTTTTTGTTTTTGAGAGAATGACAGAATTCAAGGGGAGGAGAGGGGCAGAGGGAGAAAGAAAGAGAGAGAGAGGCAAAAAGACAGAGTATCTCAAGCAGGCTCCACGCTCATTGAAGAGCCTGACAGGGGGCTTAGTCCCCATGACCCTGGGATCCCATCATCTAAGCTGAAATCAAGAGTTGGACACTCAACCAACTGAGCCACCCAGGCGCCCCATAGGCAGTTAGTTTTTAGTTGGCATTCAGTCTGCACTAGTTTCTCTCACACCCTTTTATTCCCTTGCCGAGGGGTTGCAAATTGGTCCAGTACCACTTTAGTAAGTGGTGCTCCTGGCCTCTGCCTCAGATCTTAGAATAATGAGTCAGCTTTCTTCTGTGATATGATGTGTTTCTATAACAGAGGGCAGTGCAACTAAGACTGAAAGTGAAAAAAGGAACTTTGCATGAAGTTATAGAACAAAATTGTATAAATTAGAATATATTTAAAAATGGAAAATATAGACTTGGAAAGAATTTATTTATCAGCATTTTAACTTTGAAACAGGATGTTTTGCTCATTTGCTTGCTGATGCAAAAGATGTGTACATCTTAAATGTGTTGGGCTGTATCTGTGTTGTGGGATATTTATAAATAAATGCTTCATTTGATAAGTTGTACCTATTTATTAAACTTATATCTGAAAAGCTATTTAGAGGATAAAAAGTAAAAGTTGCTTTACCATCCCCTCAGTCACTTTTTCCTGTTGATTTTGTCACGCAGATGGTGATAGATTGGTAGGTAGGTATATAGATACTGGAAGAAAAAAAATTCTATTAAAGGTTTTGACCAACAAAATATCAACTCTCAAGCATATGTGTGTCACCTTTTAGCATTCCTGAAATTGAAATTCAGTTTGTAACCTGAGACCTATTCAAAGTGTGTCAGTATAATTTAGAATTTTTTAAATCTGAGGTGGGGCAAAGTCTGTGATATCCTTAAATGTTGGGAGATATAATGTACAGTTATGGATGTGAGTGGCAATTCTTTATCCTCTGGCATTGCTAGTGAGGTTGTTACTTTCTGTGGCAGGCAGGATAATGGCCCCCAAAGACATACATGTCCCAGTCCCTGGAACCTGGGAATATGTTGGGTTCCATTACATAGGGAAATGAAGGTTGCAGATGGAATTAAGGCTGCCCATCAACTAAAATAAGAGGAACTTAAAATAGGAGGGAGATTATCCTGGCCTGTCTTGGTATGCCCAAAGTAATCGCAAGGGTCCTTAAAGACTGAAGAGGCAAGCAGAAGAGGTGAGTCAAGGGGAGATGTGATTACTGAAGATAGGCCCAGAGAGATGTAATGTGAAGGTTTCAACTCATTATTACTGCTTTTGAAGTTGGAGGGATGGGGCCCCCAGTGAAATATCACCAGCTTCTAGTATCTGGAAAAAACACAGAAATGGATTCTCCCCTGGAGCTTCCGCAAAGGTGCACAGAGAGCCTTGTGATACCTTGATGTTAGCCGATGAGTTCTGGGCCAAACTTCTAGTATAGAGAATTGTAAGATAATAAATTTGAGTGTTTTAAGCCACTAAATTTGTGGTAATTTATTACGGCAACCTTAGAAAAACAATACACTTTCTAATAACTAATTACCTCCTCTTATGACTTATAGAGAAGGAATCCAGAAATTTGGTGCTCTCAAATCTTTATAGACTGTTTTAAGAACTGGTAATGATTTTAGGATTAGATAAAAAAAAAGAAATTTGCATCAGAATATATAAATACATACAAAGAGCAACAAACTAGGTCTATACTAAGAAACA